TGACCATCACCCGGTGCCAGGTAACGACCGCACCCAGAAACGCACGGGTGTTTAAAAAGACGCGATCACCCGTGTTGCTCTTTTAGAGAAATTCTCTTGTGCTGAAGCACGCAGGGGAGCTGGCCACCGCACACTCCTGGTGTGGCTGTCTGCACGACGATGATCTCTGTTCCCGCTGTGCGACTGTGACCACCGCTGCTGTGCCGTAATGCCCGCACTCGCTGGCTCTCTGCTTGCAACACCGAAGTAGAGAGCAGTAGTGATGCACTACCGCTCAGCTCCAAAGCGAAAGGATGAATGAATGCGGTGCACCTGGTGCCTCTTATACTCACGCTGTGATCAGCGGCAGCTGGATGCAATAATCGCATGCCAATGTGCATTGGCTCGTTTAGTTACACTCAAAGTGGATTGGTCTCTCTGGCGAGATCCCAATTCGTCGGTCATCACCGACGTGACATCGAGAGTGACCGACTGAAAGGGAACAGACTTTCTTATCAGAGATAACGAGGGCATGAGACTCTCAGAGAATCTCTAGAGTCTGTGTCTGCTCACTCTTTATACAGGTTTCCATGAACAATACATATCATTCAGGCCACTATGGCTAGTCTATATCTTCTCATGACCGCATAATAGTAACACAAAGAGGTCTCAGTTCATCACATGTCAGCACAAGATCATCACATGTTTTTTCTTAATAGCAGCTCATCATATTTGAGCACACACAGTTAAATTAAATGACTATAATAGTAGAATAACTCATATACGTATACGGTTATATTCACATTGATTATACTTGATTAATTCATATTTTGATTAATAAAAATCTTCTACATTCTTCTCTACCCCAAAAAAAATATTTTGAAGAATGTTCGTAACCATAAAGTTTCTGGTCTCCATTGACTCCCATAGTATCTTTTTTTTTTTATTAATATGGAAGTCAGTGGGGCCCAGCAACTGTTTGGTTACCCAATATTCTTCAAAATATCTTATTTTGTGCTAAAAAAATAAATAAAAAAATAAACCCGTATTCGATCCTCTCTCAGTCAGCAGGATGCTGAAACTGTTATACATGCCTTCGTCACATCTCAACTAGATTACTGTAATTCACTTCTTTATGGCCTGTCAGCTAATAATATCAAACGACTACAATATGTTCAAAACTCTGCAGCTCGCTTGATTACCCACACAAGAAAGAGCGATCACATTACCCCAATCCCTTCATTGGCTTCCGGTTTATTTGCGCATAAACTACAAGATACTAATTCTCACTTATAAAGCTCTCCATAACCTTGGTCCTACATATTTATCTGACTTACTTCTGCCTTATGTTCCTGCCCGCTCCTTACGATCTTCTAGTGAGGGATTGTTAGTCACCCCTAAGTTTCGTCTGGTGACTATGGGATCTAGAGCTTTCAGTGTTGTGGCTCCCAGATTGTGGAATGCTCTTCCCCAAAACATCCGTCAAGCATCCTCCCTTCTCTCCTTCAAAAACCTCTTAAAAACACATTTTTTCTCTGAGTATTACTCTTCAGTTCTCAGTCTGTAATTTGTACCCTGTTATGGATGTTTATCTACATTCTCTCTGTATCTCTAATCTAACTTTGTAAGTGGTCTCTGTATATTAATCTCAGCTCTTGGTATGTGTTTTGTCTTCTGGTATTTATGTTAATTTGTTTCTGTTAGGACTGCACGTGATGGAGATTTACCGCTGATTACAGAACTGGCTTTACTGACCAGATGCGCATTAAATATCGCATGCGCTTTATCGTGCAGTCCTAGTTTCTGTTCCTTAAACCTGACTTGTAAAGTGACCTTGGATGTTGGAAAGGCGCTATATAAAGTAACAATTATTATTATTATTATTATTACCGAACAGTTTTGGGGCACCATTGACTTTTTTCTACTATGGAAGTCAATGGTTCCCCAAAGCTGTTTGGCTACAAACATTCTTCAAAATATCTTCCTTTGTGTTCAGCAGAACAAATACATTTATACAGGTTTGGAACAACTTGAGGGTGAGTAAATGATACCAGAATTTTCCTTTTTGGGTGAACTGTCCCTTGAAGTATTCATTTGAGGAGTATAATGGTGGAGCTTTAAAAGCAGTACACTTTCAAAGAAAGTCTTTCTTAAATTTAGAAATGTATTTGTTATTTCTTTAGTTGCTGTCATTGTTCTTATTGTGTAACATTATATTACGTTAAGCAGTTGTTGTTGTTTTTTTTGGGAGAAGATTAAGTATTATTAGATTTTTAGTTTTTGATTTTGCTTTTACATGGGGTAATATTTTAACAGATGCATTTCAAACAAATGAGCTATGTGTGTAACATGCTTCTGTGTATATTTGTAATCTTTTGTAATTTGTAATTGTGTACTGTTGAAAAAAAAAAAAATCAGGATTTTTTTTCCAAGAAAAGTTTTTGCTTATTGCCTTACTGCTTTTAAAAAACACTTTGGCCTTGGTTTGCGAAAGTGAACGCTGGCGCGTGTTAGCTGCCGCTGCTTCAGGAGGATATCACTGTTTTAGGATTTTATTGTGTTTTACTGTCAGTAATGCGTAATACTAACTAGACTCTGCCTACCTGGTTTTGGTAATGCATTTCATCTCCTGGAGTTGCTTGACTGTCTTCGGGAGTGTCTTTTGGGAGTGGGAAAATGAGGACCAATAAGCTGCCAATTTGGATCACATTTGCCTGGATTATCCGTTTCTCTGTTTTTCGTTCTATGGTTTTAATTCAACAACATACGGCGGTTGAACTGTTTCAGCTCCATTTTCATCTTTATGAGCCTCCTCCTACGGAGTTGCTTGACTGTCTTCGGGAGTTTCTTTTGGGAGTGGGAAAATGAGGACCAATAAGCTGCCAATTTGGATCACATTTGCCTGGATTATCCTTTTCTCTGTTTTTCGTTCT